TGACTTGATTCTTGTTTCTTACGTTTCCTGCTGTGCTCTTTCCCAGGCCCGTCACATCTATAGCTGAAAATGTGTTGCTGGTGGAAAAGGAGAAAAATGTCCTTCCTCACCATCATCTTCATCAGCAGCAGCACCATACACTACAGTCGTTCCACGCCGGCATGAAGAGTCCCTCTTTATCTGAAGAGACGAGAAAGCACCCTCAGCAGCAACCAGCCCCCCACAAGATGAACACGGTGCTCCCCCTTGACATATCTAAATCTCAGATCAGCCCAATCCCCGGCTCCGCCCACCTGGACTCCCTGAAGCAGAAACCCCGCCCCGACAGCTCTCAGAGCCCCTCCTACCCCAACGCAAGTCAAGCTGATCTGGTCAAAGCTAAGAGCCACGCAGGCCTGGTGGACATCTCTAAACCTAAACCCAACACCTCCCCCGAGGTGTCTAAACATAAAATACCGAGGTACTCGGATACTTCCCCGCCTCCGCCGTCTCGTTTGCCAGTTAAAATAGAGTTGGCAGAACCTCCGCGGTCTGGCTTCAAGCCCGTGCGGTTAGAGTCGGGCGCGGTCAGCGCGAGCAGCAACACAAAGAGCCCGCTGATTATCAAGAAGAATGAGCCCTTCACTGTTTACAGAGACCCAGCTCTGGTTCGCTCCGACGCAGAGAACTCCGCCTCTGCAACAGTCTCATCCAATCACGTGGCAGCTTATCTCCATCCCCACCTGCACACGTTGCACTCCCCCCACTCGCCCTGCCTCACCCCTGCGTCACACCCCCACGCAGCTTCCCATCTCCTTGCTCCTGCTCACACCTCCGCCCTGCCTCACCCACACCTTTTGCCTCCCACTGTGCTCCCAGCCATGGCCCCTCCCGCAGCATCTCTCCACCCTCGGCTCGACTCTCCGGGAGGCCTGGGTCACCTTGCTCTGCCCCACCAGCAGCAGTACCTACAGGTGTGTGCTGCAGTCCTGTGCTGTGGAGCAGAGTAGTGTCTGTGTCTGTTTACCCTCATTAAAGAAAAGCTAACGATGCGTCTGTGTGTTTCAGGGCCAGGGCCACCCGTCACCATCGCTTCTAGCCCAGGCTCACAGCGGGGCTGCAGGACTCGGTCTGTACCCGATCCTGTGGCAGTACCCCAACGGAACACCCACGTCCTACCCACCAGGGCTCAACCTGCCCCCCACGGCTAAGTGGGTCCACCCTGAAAATCCTGTTACTGTGAACTCTGAGGCCTCTCTCAGGAGGGTAGGTGTACAGGAGCGTGATGTCAGCGTGTGTTTGTGTTCATGTTTCCACTGGTGAACAAAGATAGAAGGAA